GCAACAGTCAGCAGTGAGGCGCAAACGTATGCGGTAGAAAAAGCGGATGCGGAGCAAAACACAACAACTGAAGAGCAGTCAAAGGAGCAGGCAACGGCTGTAATGGAAGAAGATGAGGAACAGGAAGCTCAGGAGGAGGAAGAATATGATTACGAATTTACTGAAGAGCAAGAAACAGAAGAGATACCGTCCAAGGCCAATGCCGAAAATATAATACTGCATGTGGAGAAAGACAATATCAAGTTCGAGACGGAAATGGTGTACAATAAGAATACGGGCGAGCTAGTTGAACAGCCTGCGGAGACTAATGCCAAGCAGAAGGAATACAAGTATCGGCTTGTCAGTAATGGTATTGGTGATACATATATCTCACGAGAGCCAGCGTCRAAAGAGAAACAATCGAAACAGCAGGAGTCACAGTYAACGTCCAAGCGCAATCAACCTGAAGAGCAGATGGATGCMAAGAAAACAAAGCTAACACCTGCCGCCGACATGGATGAGCTGAAGACGAAGTTCCACTGTGATCGTTGCAATGCGGGCTTTGCATTGGAGAAATCCCTGATCATACATCGAAGGCAGAACAGCTGCACCCATCGAAACTTCAAGTGCAATGAATGCGAGCGAGTGTTTGTCTCGCTCGATCATCTCTCCGAGCATCAGGCCACACATGGAGCCTTCATATGCCAGGAGTGCGGCCTTCGCTGTGAGTCCATGGAGCAGTTGGGTAGGCACATGGTGCAGACGCACAAGCGGAATCTGCGGAATCAATGCAATGTGTGCCAGAAGGGTAAGTGGCTCAAATAAAATGAGGAAACTTTGAAGACTGCCAAGTGCCAAGTCTCAACATTTTCTCTTTTTCTTTTGCAGTGTTCACTATGCTGTCTACTTTACGGGATCACATGCGCATCCATACCGGCGAGAAACCATTTGTTTGCAATGTTTGTGGAAAAGGCTTCACACAGAACGCGAATCTGCGCCAGCACAAGATGAGACATTCGGACATTAAACGCTTCAAATGTACCCTGTGCGATCATTCGTTTGTGACCAAAGCGGAGTTAACTTCTCATGGGCGCACTCACACGGGCGTCAAGCCGTACCAGTGCGAAGTCTGCTCCTCCAGATTTACGACCAGCTGTTCCCTGGCTAAGCACAAACGCAAGCACACTGGCGAAAGACCGTATGCCTGTGATCTGTGTCCGATGCGCTTTACTGCGCTTAATGTACTCAAGAATCATCGACGTACGCACACGGGTGAACGTCCCTACGTTTGTCCCTTCTGCTCGAAAAGCTTTACGCAACGCGGCGACTGCCAGATGCATCAGCGAACGCATCAGGGCGATAAAATCTACATTTGTCCGGTGTGCAGTGAGGAGTTCAAAACGATGAACGATATGCGCACGCATCTGACAATGCATGAGCAGGATGATAAGCGTCTGGTTCACTTCACCCTGCTGAGCAATAAGGAGAACGGGAATGCGGCGACCCTGGAAGAGGCTGACGAAGATGAGTCGGATGCAACCGATTTACTGTAGACTAGCTATCCCCGTAAGGGATTTATGAATAAGCTGGGGGATTTTTATAGACTAGACTAGACCTGGTGAAGATGAACATTAGGCTGAAAAGTTAGAAAGAGGAGACTTTACGGGCCCAGTCGTCAGGTTAAGATGTCGATTGTAACTATCGATAATTTACTCAAAGGGTATGTAATGCATAAGTTTAATAAATATTGTCTTACTATTGRTACATAGTAGGCGAAAATAAAAAAGACAAATTAAAAGTGAAAGTCGATTGATCGGTAATCAGTTAAAATAGGATAGGAATTTACCAAATTACTGTATGGTGGATACTTCGATTGTTTTCCAGCTCTATTACAAATAACGTTTTTGTAGCATTTCTTAGTCTTTAATTTTTAGCTTACAATAGTAGTTATTAAAATGCTTATGATTCGATATATGCACTTGGTCGTCTAATAGAATTGTCCG